ACAGTGTGTGTCACCTCCCTGGCTGGGGATTGAACTCAGGTTGTGGTGATGACAGTGCTGAGACTTAGCTCCTAGGCCACTAGGGAAACCCCTATAACCTATTTTTTCCCTAAATTACATTTATTGAGGTAAAGTTGATTTGCATGATTGTATCTGTGTTGGGAGTTTTAACCTTTTTTACTAGTAAAATTATTTATTCTTTGTTTTTTGCCTGAACATCTCTTTTAGGTGACTGGGTTTTTATTTTTTGATGGTTTCACTCTATTTTTTTTTCTTTATCTTAGAAATTCTTTGATCCAGCTTCACTTTTCCATCAAATGAAGGTTCTCAAAATGTTACATTCATGATAATATGGTTATTCTTGAGCCTACAAAATGTTACTCTTTTTATGAAGCCAATAATGATCTCTGTAAGAACAATGCAAAAGTTTATCAGGAAACATTACCAAGCAAAAAATACTAAAGAATAGACTAAGAAATTTTCTTACCTATCAAGCTTTACTAGAAAATGAAATGTATTATAAGACAGCAACAATATAAACAGCAACAGTAGGAAAGTTAGATGACACAGAGAATAACCCCAAAGATTATTATTAGTCATTAGGTTTGGAAATTCAGGTATTTCAGATGTTAGCTTGCAAGGAAAGAAATAAGTGGTTACAGGGGACCTTCCTGGAGGCACAGGGGTTAAAGACAGTGCTGTAAAGCCACTACCGTATGATCCTGATCCATCCCTGGTGGCCAGGGAGTTGACCCCTCCTGTCTTGCCAGCTGCTCCCTCAGCAGTGTATTTTAGTCCATCTGCCTGTTCTGCTCCCCACTCTGACTCTGGTGAAACCACTAACTTCTACCCCAGTTTTTGTATGCATAAATAAATCTTTAAAGAAAAAAAAAAAGGAAATGGTAATAATCTTGGTAATCAAGACACAAATCAATTTAGACTCATCTCATGATGCAGGTGAAATAAAATCCTAATGGATATAGAAGTAAATGTGAGTGACTTAGGCCTAACAAGTTATAAGATCTTCTGGGGAGTGAAAATGAGAAGGATAGGTTCAACTGCACATGTTCAACATTCTAGCCGAGGAGAAAACATGAAGAAAATTATGTGCAAACATAAAACTGGCAAATGGTTGTTTCATAGACAGAGCTACTTTTGTATAAAGGGCTTATTACTGACTTTTAAGAATTAAGTATATATACATATATATACTTAATATATATACTTAAGCACACTATAAAACTAGACAATGTTATACATGAAACCCCATAACATAAACTCATAAATCTAAAAATAGCAATGAATTAAAAAAAATTATTGTAGCCCACTAGTATTTAAAAGTGAGTAATGCTTGAATTTTATTCTATTAGATTAGTTGTTTAAATAATCAAAATATTGCTTTTATATGCTTTGTGTGCTCTGTCCATTCCTTGTAATCTATCCTCCAAATATGTCTCTAAAAAAGGCTTAAAAATCACAGCCTATAATATTAACACACGTTTCTCTCTTCAGGCACTATCCTATTTTTCTTCTTCCCTTCACAAAGTTCTGAAAAGATGTGTCCCAATATCTTTTCTCTTCTTTTCCCTTAGTCACCAATATACTCCAATCTGGATTCTGGGGGATTAATGCAGCCAAACCAGCCCTTTCTTGCCCTGCACCCAACACATGGCTTTCAGATATATTTTGCTGCTTAAACACCCTCTTATCACCATTCTCTGCTAGTCCACCTATTGTGCTGCCCTCCATTCCTGTATTTCAGTTTCCTAGTTCTCTTTCTTATATTATAATGGCCTATTTTTCAGTTGTCTTCCTAATCTCTACTCTATTTCCTTTTTTTTTTTTTAAGACATCACTGTTCTTGACACTTCTCTTTTTATGGGGAAAATTTTTTTTTTAAGATTTATTTATTTATGCATACAGAATTGGGGTACAGGCACGGTTGAGAGGATTCACCAGTTACAGTGGAGAGCAGAACAGACAGATC